TTGAATGTAAATATAGCGAATGGAAAACTAGAAGTGAGAAATATTTAAATGTCATGTCAACAAATATGATAGTAACGTTCGTTCATTCATTATAAGAATATATCTTCTTCTTCTTCTTCTTCTTCTTCTTCTTCTTCTTCTTCCTCTTGTTTCCCTTTGTGCCTTTCAGAGTCAGTAGAATATATCTTAAAAAGAAAAAAACCTACTTTTTAAAAAAGTAACGTACGAAGTTGGAACAGTTTTGAAGGCAAATTGGCAACAAAAATTAAAGGTTTTAGCGGGCCTTCAACATCTCCTGCGTCAATAAGATTTTCTGAAATGCAAACTTGTGACCATTATGAATTTGAGTTTTATAATTTGTGTGATTTTGGCTTGTATTTGTAACGTAATATCTTGGGCATCTGCTTTTATTTCGTTATTTAAATAGATGCTGTAATTATTGGTTAATTTCAGAGTTATTTGATAATTGGTATTACTTATTTGTTGTAGGTAATAGTTAATGATTACAGTGATTATCTTGCGATATTTGCGCTAACCTATATTTTGATATTAAAAAGTTTTAATTCCAATATATTTGCTATTTTCAGTTTCCATTTAATTAATTATTGTTAGTTCATTACATTAATATTTATCTAGTTAGTAATTTAATTGCGTATTAAATTGTAGTATTTGTATCAGCTTCTAATGATTAATTTTAATTAATTATTTGTAGATTTTGAAAAATTTACTGTTATTTGAAGTTTTTATGTTAATTGTTATTGTATTTAATAAGTAGCTCATTGTTGATTATAGTTGCATTATTAAATACCACTGAGGTTCCGGGTTCGATTCTCATAGAGTCCCCGTAGAATCTCATGTGAAATTTCTTACAATACGAGTTTGCGTGCTTCTCAAGGGCTAGTCCACCACTGTTAAGCGTCCTGTATCTCCTATCCTTATTCCTTCCCAATTCCGATGGGTAGATGACTCAGGGAGCGTGCGAGACGCGAGCGCGACCTGTCGCTGATTCCGTGACTTGACTATGACTGACGTGACTTGGCAATAACAGCAGCCCCTACAGAGTGCTTATTAACGGAGGATTACTCCGGTGCGTTCAACGCCCCTAACGGAGTTTAGAGACGCGTTCCGATATAGATGGAACAAATTAAGAAAAGAAAAATAGTTACTGGTATTTCCAGTGCCGAAGCTGAGGGGTAATCTGGGAGCCTCCAAAAGAATAGAATATCCAAATTATTTTTCAACAAAATATGTCGTTATTTGTGCCATTTTTTCAATATTTTTGACTGAATCGTAAAAGAAAATTTAATGTTTTCGACTTCTTTTCACCCGCTCAGGCGCGAGGAAATCAACAGGGCTACTAACAGGGGGGAGACAGACTAGGCTGTTCCGCGCATGCGCACAAGAGGGCGCGCGCTAGAGGCGCCCTAATTTCTTCTTTAAACTTGTGTTTTTATTTCTTAGCGCGCAAGGCCTTCACGATCTCATGGTACTTCGCGTCTTTCTCGGTCGTGACGCTAGATGTCGCATGATCGCCAGCATTACTCGACACAGTCACGATCATGCGTTATCTAGCGGCACAACTGAGAAAGACTTTAAATGCCGTGAGATATTCCATTATTAAGACAAGACCTCGCGAACCAAGAAATAAAAACCCAAGTATAGCATACTGGTCAGGGAGCCTGGGCTGCCAACATGCGCAGACTTGATCCGCCAGGCACGTTCATGTCCACATATACTATCTGTTCACTCAGGCCAGGCAAATTTACCTCATCACCTAACGTTGTGGGAAAATTGAATGAGTTGTGTGATTCTTTTTCGTGTTTTGTTTCTGAAACAATTAATGAAGATAAAGATTTAGTGTTATAGAGATACCCCACTGACTATGGTCAACTCCCATAACTTCTGAACGGTTCACGATATCGAAATGCAGTTTTCGCTCAACAATGCGGAGCCATGAGGCAAATAGTATGCCGTCAAGATAGAAATACGTAGTAATATGCCGTGTTAGATACGAAAAGACTTGAAGTCAGCATCAAAGTAGACATGACCATGAATGAACTTTCAGGATCAGGATACAATTTTTTCTTTTAAAATTACTGATACACTAGTGGCTCAGATGGAATGGGGTCAAGATTTTGGAAACTTTCTTTTTATTGGATTTCTTGGCGAAAAGCAGTTTTCCCTCTACAAAACGTCCTTTTCTTCAGAGGTTTTTTTTTTCGTAATAAAACAATATCCAGTGAGCAGTTTCGAAATGAACTGACAAATTATACATTGAAAATGCAAAATACATTCCTGCAAAGTTTTTAGCTTAAGTATTTGTTAGTCAAATTGTTCTAGAAAAAAATTTCAACAGACGGTGCAATAGATACACCTCAGGGTAACTTTCCCTGCATATACAGCATTACATGAAAGGAATATGATTACGTTTAAGAGAGTGAAGAGATTTCAGGGGATATATATGGATCAATAATTTCAGTACATTGGATATTGAGAAGTGCCTGCCTAATTAACTTTGCAGAAACGACAGCTTTAAAAAACAAATTATCTGTTTTTGATGGACGAAAAAAAAACGAATGAAACTAATCTACAAGAAAGTGTATGATAAGATTTTTCTGAATACCCAAATGCGTAACTCTAGCTTCACCACTGAATTTTAAGAGTATATTTTTAGTACTTTGTCATTTCCTTTAATTCACAATTAACTGTTAAGTGTTGTAAATTCTTCTACTTGCTATCCGGAGAGCCTTGTGTAATAATTATATTTGGTGGAAATTTGTAAGCGTTTAACGTATTAGTCATGTCTGTTACGGAGCTCGCACTACAGTCAATTCCGGTTATAGTGAACTTCTGGGGACTAACATGTTTTGTTCCCCATATCCGATGATGTCAAAATTAAATAGAATTTATCCATAACGATTTATTTTATTAAATTAGAGATACAACAAAATTTATTAAGAGCAAGTACTGGAAATATCAGTATCTTTATTTCTCTGTAAAAAAATAATTATGTTCAATTGTTTGCGTCATACTTTTTCATTAGTAATTTCTCTAGAACTTTCTTCAAAGTTCGTCCTCTCTTCATTCTTGATTGTCCTCTCCATCTCCGAACCGTAATGCAGTCTTGACACTCTTCAACGCCTCTTGCAAGCGGCAAATGAAACTGATCGCTTTTTACGCGCCGCACAGCGGATACCACCAGATTGTGTCAGCTGCGTGCCTCCCACCGCTTACGTAGAACACCACGTGCGTTGTCCCGCGGAATATCAAGTCACACTAAGATTGAAACTCGAGCAAACAACCGCGCATCGCAGCCGCCAGTTGAAGCCCACGTAGGACACTGGCTTTTTTCCGCGGTGAAACTGAGTGGCATAAGGTCATCAGTAAGATGCCCATTCCGTGTCCGCTACCTTCCCCTCAAGGAAGGCTTCTTTGATTATGACCTTTGGCTGAATAATATTTTCTTCAAGCGCCTTGTGTAGAAATTTGTGGCACTGAGAAGATTATTATTTTACACGAGGGAATTAATTTCCAGGATGTTGTATTTCCTACGTCCACTATAGCTGAGGTTCAGGTTCACTTTAACTGAAACTTCTTATTCTCATTTGTAATATAAGTGAAATGGGACCAGTAACTTAAGTTCACTGTATCCGAGTTCACTATAACCGGAGTCGACTGTATATCTCTAGCTCGTTGGAATGAACGATTTCCACCGTAAACAAATTCGTTAATAAAAAATTCTACCGGTAGAGGTCGCTACACTGTGTTTAGTATATAAACTTTGTATTATGTAAATGACCCCCATGGAGTTACGAATGTATTCATGACTCCATGATGACGCCCACTCCGCCATGTTGCACAATGCAGCGGTGGTCCTCGGCTTGATATCTATGGTAGGGATACATCGAAGTCGATATTTTCAAAACATCAATGTTTCATAGAAACTTGAAAATGCTTTAAAAGAGACATTAAACATTTATGAAAGTCAATTACTATGATCGATGTTTTGAGCACTATATATATATATATATATATATATATATATATATATATATTGCTGAAATAATATATTTGTCTACAATATCATCTAGACTAGCAGCACTTGCAGCATCAAGGGAAAAAGATTTCACTGGCACACTTTGTAGTAAGATTTTTCTTGAAATGTTCTTTGAGAAGACAAGAGGGCTGGACGTGTAGGAAACACTGTTGATACAATTCCATCTTCTAATGTTAGTGAAGTCAAATTCGTTTATAACTTGCCAGTTATCATACTGCAACTCGAAGATCACCTCCAGAATGGAAATATAAGTTGTGCACCTAAGCAAATAAAATTAATTACATTTTCATCATACACTAATGAGAGTGTACCTATTCTAGAAATGCAAACAACAATGAATTATGTATATTTGAAAATGAGACGTTTTGAATACCAGGGTATTGCAAACAATGGATATATGGATATACAATGGACATATTACAAAACTTGTCCAATACCATACGAAATAATATAATTACAATACTTTTAAACGAATAGAACAGAATAAATGACATGAACAGGGTAGGTTATACTACATGGATTTACGGGTTTTTAACACTATTTTGCATGGTGTAAATGTTTACAAATGAAATAATCAATTACAATTATGCAATAAGATTCGAAAATGAATTATAAATACCTCCACTGCTGGTAGGGCGAAAATCCTAGCAATGTACTTGTCTAGCACCAGTTTTCTTAATATCACATCTTCCAAAATACTGAAAACATAGTTTTAGACACGGTAAACAAATATCGCGACACAATTCACTCTACATGACATTCTACAGACTCACAAAATGCTGAAAAAATTCGATAAAAAAGAGCACCTACTTGCTTGCAGCCTGCACGTAACGAAAAACACCGCCTACATTGCCAGCTTTTTGAATTGTTTGACGTCACACGTTTAGTTCGGGTCACTACGGATCTATTGTAGATGGCGCAAAAATCATTACCCCATTTTGACCGCCAAGTTTCTCTACCCTGTACCTAACAAGCTCCAACCTGTTTGGCGCGCTTATGACGTTTGATTATGTACATAGTTGTATGAAGGAACTATTTACTAACACTTTGTCAGTATTGAGGGTTTGGTGTTCAACTAACTTGAAAGTAGTAAATTTCCGTTATTGAGAACATTTAGAAAGGTTTTGAGATATCATGGTCTGTACAGAGAAAACGACTACATATGTTATGCATTCCCCCATAGGGGACATTGAATTAGTTGTATGTCAGAAAGGTCTTCATTCCTCCAGTCAGATTATATCAACAGATGATGAGTTTTGCCCTGATCAAAAGTAAGTAGTGGAGCCTATATTGTGATGTATTTGTTACATTTTGTTAAATCATCTTTAATTATGTTACATTCTATTTTGATTTAATTTTTGTAGGCAGCAAGTAAAAATAAAAGCCTTGGACATTGATGACCAATTTAGTAAACATGTTAAGCAAACAGTAATGTGGTTTCGTGTGTATTTCTCCAATTATTTTGATTTAGATGATAATCATCAACCAAAGCTTTGCATGGATTCAATTCAAAGTGAGTGGTTCTTGTTTCCTTTGATGTAAAATAATGACAATTGCAAGCATTATATACAGTAATTTTTAATTACTTGTAGGTGAATTTCGTAAAAATGTGTGGATGACATTGGCACAAAACACACAACCTGGTGAAACCACTACTTATGGTGGCCTTATGACACTGATGCATAGCAAAGGATTTTCAGGTAATTCAGAAAGTTGCAATTGGTTAACCTTCCGCTTGACCATTTATCTTGAAGGAATGTATATTTTTTTTTGCATTGTGATAGTGTTGTTTGACATAAAACGTGTAAGAAACCCAAAACTACCTTGAATCTGGAATTATTAAAATTCCAACCCATTGTACCTGTATACTAAGTTGACTTCTTCGCTTATACACTTTTATGTCAGTAGTGCAGATCTAGCCTTCAGTCTCTGCATTTTACATAATAAAATGTCAAGTCTGAACAATATAATTTCCATGGTATTTTGTGCAAAAAAGCATACACAAGTGTAGCCACCCTCTCAATCCTTTCCACTGGGCCTGCAATTACGGAAGCAAAGTTAAAGTGAAGTTCAGCCCTCTCATTTTATATTTATTGATTATATTGTTGCAATCATTCTTATTTAATGCAAATATGTTAATTAGGGGAATCCCTGGTACCTCAGATCAGCAATGGTTTTGAAAAAACTAGAAAAGAAAATGTTTTAAATGTGAGGTGAGTCCAACTCTCTCACTTTCATTTGTAACTTGCTTAGATGTATCTACATTCTGAAAGAAGTTCTATTTCATGATAACCATTTGATGAATGGATCTGTTTCATGCTGGTCACAGTTTGAAGCCACTGTCATTTGATGACATAAATCCACTTGCAGTTACAGTCTTGCATTAGTTGAGAATCATTACCAAAAGCTGGAAAATAAAAGGTGCAGAAAGGTGACCAAATGTCAAGGGAATTGTCAGAAAAAGGAGAAAAATAAAATTGAGTTACAAGTATCCAGAAAAACAAAATAGAGTCCAAATTTAACCCTAAAGTGTGGGTGAAACACAATAATGCTCTGACTAAAAAAAATAAAATGAGATGTGAGGGAATTCATTCAAAACTGGCTAGGTTTTTTGTGTAAAACTTCTGTTTTATAGTAAATGTTTATATGATTATTATCCATCTGTTTTCGTATTCCTTGTCCATTATAAGGTGGGTGGCACAAGGTACAAGATAATCTTGTTTCTTGAGTCACTTAATATAGTTGGAGTTTCTGTTAGAACACTAAGAATAAGCAAATTTCCTATAACAAATTGGGAAAACATGCCTGCGGCACCCCAAAAAAGAGCCAAAGGTATGAGGGTGTCCCCTTAGTTATGCAATTCATTGTAATTAGATATTGATGAGACTAAATCACATAACATAGTGTAAATTAAATCAGTGCAGATATGATAAACCCTGTAACAATGCAACAGCGAATTATTGAACATGAACATTTTTTCAGGAAAATAAAACAAAAATTTTCAATGTGAAATCACTCTATTCTACAAAATATAATTAGTGTTATCTTTTGGGGGGGCCTTTGTGAATCCTGAAGTTGCTCTAAAAGTAGTTGTCCCAAATTAATAATCTTAATTAAACATTTTTTTTAAACACTGCAGAGTAAGTTTTTTTATAGAATTTATGATTCAAACAGAAGGTAATTGCTACAGTATAATTTTATACTAGTTCATAATATACTTCAGTTCTAAGCAGTTCGTGGGTAAAGAAAGTTTTAAAAGCATATTTTCTCATTCAGTTGTTGACATTTGGGTTAAGGCTATTTGAAGTATAATAACTTGTCAGTGGATGTTTTCATACAGATTAGAATTAGTAAAATGATCTTTGGAAATGAGAATTCTTATAACATCAATAATACTATTCGCATCTTAGCACTCACATTCCAAGGTTTTCAGTAAATGATACTATAATTTTTAATTCACAAATTTTAGAATTAGCAGGTGTAACATGCAGTATGTCTTTCCACTCTTAAGAAAATTAATTTTAATATTTTAAGTAATTGTTGTGTAATTGGTGAAAGAGGTATTGTTTGTTTATTATTTTTTTTATATCGAAAGTCATAAACTATATGCTGTTGAAACATTTTTTCATTAAATTGAATTCAGCCATGCACGTAGACAAATGTATTCCTTTCCAATGCCTTTCAACAACTGTATCATAGCCTTCTGATAATGAAACTTTAAGCTAAAGATGTCGTAATTGCTCTAAACATCTCAAAATCAGTTTTGCAGTGATATTTCCACCAGATCCTTGGGAAAGGGTTCCACTGGGTCCACCTGGGAAAGGATAAACACAAATACAACCAAACCCAGGGCGGAACTCAAACCTGTGATACTTTAGCATGAGATCATCATGGCATTACTGTCTTAGCAATCTCAGCCCAGTTTGGCAATTAATCACTTTGTTTGGCTTTAATGTATAGTAGCAAATATGTGAGTTGGTCAAAATAATAATTTCCTTTTTGTGAGTTGAAAATGGAGAGGAAGCCAGGTCTGCAGACTATGACCTGATGCTAAAAAGTTGGTTAGGAAAAACAAAAAATCTGTTTGACATTAAAGACTTTTGGCATAACATGTGTTGGAAGTTATTTGTTACGTAGACTGAAGGATGCTAATTGCGAAGTCACGCTTGAACTCAGCTAAAGCTCTGTAAATTGTTAATGTTTTAGTACAAGTCTGGAAAAAAGGAATTATTTCAGAAAATGTTGAAAACATAAAAAATAAATATCAGAGTTGCCTAACACTGAATCCCCCTTCCCCTGTGTAATACACCATTACACTGTCTCAAACCTTCCTTCCCCCTCTTTAGCATTACATAATTTATGAATGACCCAGTCTGAGTTATGGCAACACAATATTTGAGGAGAATAATTACTTCAATCAAACTGCATTAGGGATTAAGTGCAATAAGTGCTAACAATTTATCTCTGACTATCTGATATGGTAATTATACAATGATTAGTAATTAAGCATAATTCTTGATCCCTATGACCATAACATATTCATTAAAAGTGCTGCTAGTTGGTGAATCATTGCTTTGTGCAACTTAGTGTGTCTGAATTTATAAAATAAATAATAGGAGTTCAAATTAGTGCATTGTATTGACTATTGTTCTCTACATATTCAGGTGGGTGTGTGAGAAACACAAAAAAAAATAATTTCTATTTGATGTCACATACCGTTTTTACTGTTTTTTTGAACAAATAAATCAAATTAAGTCAAATCAAAAAACCTGAGATATGATACTTCCTAGTTAAAAAGTATTGGTCAAACTTTGAAAATCCAGAAATTTTACCAGAGAGTTTTGTAGCCTCTTTTCAAATAAGCGTTTCTGAATTTTCTTTCATAGGGTGCGCCCAAGCTGTTGGCTCAGCACTTGCAGTGAATCCCTTTCAAATTATAGTCCCATGTCACCGTGTTCTTCCCAAATCTGGTGAATTCGGACAATATGCTAAAGGAAAGAAGAACAAAGTGAAAGAGTGGTTGCTGAAGTATGAAAGGGTTGGGGTAAGTTGTAGAAATAAAATAATTTCCATTCCTCTCTAAAAATTAATTAATTTTATCCTTAGTATCATTTTTATATTTCAAGGACCTAATCTAATTTTTTATATAAATGGGTATTAATCCAAGGTGAGTGGCAAAATTGGAGAATTCTTTTTCTTATAAAAAGTGCACATTTCTTGAAATTAGAAAAATTTCTTAAACTAAAAAATAAAAACCATAGTGGTTAGCACATAGACATCCCTACTCCTTATGCTAGTTTTCTCAACCTGAGAAGTGAGCTTTCTCATTTCTTTGACATTTCTTGAAATTAGAATAGTTTCTAAAGCTGAAAATTAAAAAAATATAAATATCAATTTGAAAGGTTAAAATATGATACATAAATGACAAAGTGAATTGAGGTGGGGAGAAATAGTTGGCTGAATTAGCAAAACATGCATTTAGCAGACATTAATGGTACCAAGGAAAATTGGTCCTCATTCAAACGGTTGTTTAATGAAAGTTATGAGAAATGGGCATCAGATGTGCTACTTGTCTATCTGTCTATACCGGCATGTCCTATCTGCAGTGATATAAAGTACTCTTTACTTGTTATCATTTTCTTAAATACACTTAGACTACTAAATACTACTTCTTTTCATAAGCAAATTTATATTTTTGTATTTGATGTTAAATTATTTTATTTTTTCTGCACTAAAAGCAGTGGCAGGTTGTTTCACTGTAACCTTTTTTTCACGTTCTTTCTGTTGCCCAGTATCACATTCTTTAATTATCACACACAACTACAGGACATGTAGGAAAATCATTTATTGTTATATGAAATAGAAAGTGACTCAAGAAATCTCTACTGTAAATAATTTGAAATTGCGTCCTGAATCAGAAAATTACTGAATCAACTGCTCCTTCCCTTTATATTGTCATATAATTTAAAATTGGTAGAGAAAGATGTCCATTAAATACAGGTTAGTCTACAAAATGACCCTTGCCTGTGACCACTGGGTGATGTGAAGAGAAGTCAATATGTTCCATGGGGAAATAACTGTAATAGAGATGTTTCAGCATGTTTAACTATACTTTTTTCTAATAAATTACTCCACTTCCCTCAATAGAGAAGTTGCTGGAGCAATTCCTTCCCTTATTTAAGTAAATGAGACAGACACTATAGCTATCAAGCTATCGGTTCTTTATTTTGTCAGAGAACATTTGACTTTACGACAGTCCTCCTCAAAGGTTAAAGAATGGACAAAAATAAGCTACAATAACAAATGCAAACTCTCATAAAATATGTTTCAAAATAATGTAAACAGATTTATGAAAATATAATATGTCAAAATGAAGTATCTTCTTATTAGATAGTTAATTCTAGTTTCTTTTGTGATATTTTATTCCTGGCAATATATTTTTCGTGACTGAATACAAAAGTAGATGTTCAAAAATGACTTTCTTTTGAAGTTTTCAGAAGCTGTTAAAGGAAGAAATTTGCAAAAATGTATTTGGCCGTATATTTAATTACAAATTTATAGTAATATACTTTGTAAGTTATTTTTGAATTAGGTAAATAAAGTTCATTTTGTCATTTAACATAATGAATATGTGTTGAAAAACTAATTAAATTAAATAAACTAATACCTAACCACTGGTGTTCTGCTTTTTTTTCTCTTTCTAAACAGTATTGTCTGTCATACTCGATTTAAAAAAAAAATGTTGGTCATTATTTAACTGTTTCTGTTTTTTCCCCCTTTAACAATACCAAATTTTAAAAAATAAACAAAGTGAATTCATAATGTGTATCTCTTCACTATTTTGATCTTGTGTTTTTAATGCAATTAATTATGCTTTATGGCATTTGTTCTAGTGCTGCCAGAAAAGAAAACAGGAACATTCTTTTGGGTGTGAAGATTGTGTTTCAATGGAAATAGGAACAAAAAAAATTTGCATAAGCACACCTTGTCAAAAAGCCCTGAGTGGAAGCTAAGGCAAAATGTTTGTGATGCAAAGAGAAAAAAAAAGGTGAAAAAGGTAAGATTTTGTACATATTTTTCCCTTGATGTATGTATACCTTTTCAAATCGTAATATAGCATTTTAAAAAGAAAATATTGTTTCATAGAATGAAATAATCATAAATTTGTTACATGTAATTGTTGTTTTGGTATAGTATGTTCAAAAGTATAGGATTTTGGAGTGTTAATAAACATAACACAGGTTTACAAAAATAAACTTTCACAAGAATGAAAATAACAGATTCTAGAAGTGTTTTTCATACTGAATTCGAATATGTCAGTTTTTTTCCCCGTCAGGCAGGAGTTTATGTGATATTCTTTTGAACTTTTTATAATTTTTAATAAAATCAGCAACTGGCTGATCCAGCTCTGAAGGGTATACTACTTGTCCCGACTTACATTCTGACTATTCATTCTGTTCCTAGAGAGTGGTAATAATGGTTTTCAGGCATATTCTGCATTTGGAACATCTCTCTTCTTGGTTCAACAGTAGTCAACCAACATATTAGAACTACCTTTGCCTTAGTAGTTGTTTTCCAATTTACTGATGAAAACACTTGCTGTGATCATCGCTGACAGACCCAAGATTTTCCCAGATGTTTAGGTCAAAGTTTAAGGAGTGAATTTTCAAAGACATTTTACATCCCATAATATGAGATTTATAAGAATGTAAATCAGCCGCAATGTCTGATAGTTTTCTGTTTTGGGTCCTGGTTTCCAAGGAAATTGCAACATAAAATTTTCAAAGACTCCCAGGCTACTTTTTCCAGTGAATTTAATAGTTCTCCATAATGTTTATCAACCATTAATGACTACACTTGTGGTCCTAATTTGTAGCCTTAAATTTCACCTCTTGAGTCTTTCAAGTCAGCTCACCTTCTTTTCATTTAGCATTACTTACTTTGGGAAATTTCTATTTCAAGTGCAAGAATCTATCAGAAAGTTTATGTAGCTTTTAAAAAAAAAAGTTCATTCCTCGTTATTTAATATGCAATGGAGATATGTATATTTTTCAGAATTTAGTAAATGGACATATGATACACTTTGCTGGTCGGGGAAAAGAGATTCCTGTAGTATTTGTCAAACAGAAATAACAATCAGTTAGATAATCCTTTGGTTCCTTTCAAATCATAAGGAATGTAAATGGCATATGTTGTGTAAAATTTTAATCAAGACAACAGTTTTAACACACAAAACATATGTTTCGGGCCTAGCTCTTTTCACCAACTTCACAGCCAAAGTAATGTTGATAACACTTTTTCATAAGTGGCATCAAATTTCACCTATGAGTCTTTCAAGGAGGCACAAATCAAGTCACCACAAATAGAGCAGAAATTATCTGCATGGTTGACACACGTTTTTGGGATGATGAAAACACAAAACATTAAAACACAGTTTACAAAGTATCTTTGTAAACACAAAGGTAGAAAATATGTCACTAGGGATATTCATGCTATCAATCTCAAAGACGCATTACAATGCCAGACTAACTGGTCTGAGCGTGTCAAAATATGAATGAACCTGCACAGTATAGACTGTTGGTGTTTCAGCATGATATTACATATAATTTGCTTAAATACAACTTGAATAAAATTGCTACATGTACGTCAGGTAAAGGTTCTTATGACAGGTCAAATAGAATGTTAAAATCTGATTTTAAATGTTGCTGTCACAAAAAACAAACAATGTTTTGATGCTCAAACATGTTTATGATCAAGCATCCATTCTGTGAACTATCAATGCCTCATCAATTATTATTTCAATATTTGTCACGCAAAATGATAGTGGACATGGGAGTATTGGAGCTTATTACAATTTGCTTGTGAAGAGATTAATTCATTTTTAAGTAAAATCAGGCCAATGCCATTTTTATAAGCACACTTTCTTGAATTTGCACAAAAAAATTAAAGTTAAAATTTGAGCCACTTTTGAGAGAATTTTGGAACTGCTACAAGTGGTTCATGAGTTGTTCCCCAAAAATTAAAAAAAAATATCCATTTAAAAACCGCAAGGCCTTGAATGCCGCAAGATCATTTGGTGAAAATTCTGCAAACAGTTTAGGTGTTGTCCGCAGATGTTTCAATTTATTTAGTTTTTTGATTATCAGGAATCCCTAAATTAAGTATTTTTGTCCAAATCTTAACATTGATTTATTGCAGCATTATGAAACTTTCTCTATACTAAGTATATGAGAAGAACAAGTCTGCGTTGAATTTAATTGGTTTATTTCTTTTCCAGAGTGAAGTGACAGAATGAAGTTCTCACTGGTGCTGCTACATCTAAATTTGAAGAGTAGAAATTTTTTTTGTACTGAAGGATATCAAAATGAGTTTAAATCTATTACTTTAAAATTGTACTCTTGTAAATATTAAAGAAAATACAAATTCCAAGTTTTCAAAAAAAAATTTCTTTAATTTCAAATTTTCAGGGATTGCAATCAGTGTAGCAAAGAGCTTGAACCTTCTTGAAGGTTCCTCAAGCACAAAATCCCCCCACCCTCCCATAAAAATAAGTCCATCTTGAATAAATAAAAACTTAATACAAAAACTTTCTGTGCAAATACAAATGAAAACTTTTTACATAAAATTTGACATATAGTAGTATGTTTATTGTATAAAATGTTTAATACATTTTATGTTACAAAATATGTTATGCATATTTTTCTGTAATGCCTCCAAGCAACTGCTTGTTTTGCTTGTAGGTAAATCCAACACTGCCGATTGTACTTCTTACTTTCTTTTTTTCTCATAACTCTTTTAAAGCATTTTAACTGTGATATAAAGTATTTTTCCTTGAAAATTTTTGCATTCATTTTTCAAATCACTTATTTCACAGTTCCATGTATTTATGTTCTCAGGTTGTTAGATGGTGATTTCTTCTCTAAAGAGATGCTAGAGTTCTGAATCAAGATTTAGAAATACTTTGTATAGTATAGGAAGTAGTATTTATGAGTTTATTTGGTAAATTCTAGCCATCCTTCAATTTAGTCATTTTGTCTTAAACTATTATGATGAGAAGCAAGCACCACCGACAAGTCGCTAGCTTGTTTGTGTAGATACTCAGCGGGAAAACAAGATTACAAAAACTATGCTTATTTAATCCCAGGGAATAATGCATTTACCCCCCACACACACACACACACACACATACATTAACTTTCGGTTGAGATTGGAATAAAGGGTGGAAATTAAACAGAATTTTGGCTTGTAACATGAGTAATTTTATTACTATAAAAACTAGTGATGCTAAAACAGCACATAACATCTTGTCCGTACTTTAACGCAAACTTACGCGAGAGTACCTAAAACGCAACCTTACGCGAGAGTACGAAAAATTGTACATGACCTTATTTCAAGATCTATTTTTAAGAAATTTCATTAAGGGAAAAATCTCTATCTTAATAGTTATCTCGTAGGAAGACACCGAAACAAATTCTGAATTTTTGCAATTTGCGAAAACAGTTTTCAACGAAAATGAGACCTGCACTAAACGCCCTTCACACTATCCGAGAACAAAATTTAATAAAAAAACGCCCATGTCCCAGGGGCTTCATGTAAAGTACCCCCACAGTTAAAATATTGGTTTCAAATTCAAGGGGCCGAACGGTTTAGCCCGTAGCGTTCCGAGACGGACGGACAGACGTACATTTTACCGTCATTCGGTATTAAGAACCCACAAAACAAGGATTCTGGCTACACCACTCGTAAAGATTTTTTTTCTAAATTTAGAAACTGGATTTACGACTTTTTCGTTACCAGGGCCCTGTAATTAGATTTTTTCTGCCGAAAATTCGCCGTTTTTTCATGCAGAATTACATAACTTGCTCTCTATTGCGGAGGCGGCAGCGAGAAAGTAAAAATTGAAAGTAACAGAACATACAATTGTGAGCCGAAAATCGCAATGCGCAATTAAACTATTCTACTGAATTTACTTATTTGCAACCAACTTACTATTTTTACTTTCAATAGTCCATCACTTGAAAAGTTCAATAACGTTATAAGTTGGGCTGGTTAGCAATTTATTGCGTTTTTTTTTTTTTTTTTGCTCACCAATCTGCATCCATCAGCTGTAAAGCTGAAGACTAAAGAGAGAGCGAGAGAGGATAATGGTATCGCCGATTGCCGAACGTTGCGGCGTCCATCCTTTCCCTTCTAATCCTCACCCCCATCTCGATCAGGTTTTTGGCCAGTTTCCCTGATCCATTGAGCAAATGCTGAGATGGTCCCTTGTTTTGCTTCTGGACGTAACTAGCTTCACTCTGCGCACGTTTTGTTGAACTCTCCTTTTGCTTGTAATGATAAGAGTAGAGGCAAGGAAGAGTTGCTATTTTGTTAGCAATGCAGAAAAATCATACTTGCAATTCGTGTACCGATGCAAATAAGTTTTCTGTAACTCATAAACGAAAATGACTATTTTTCAAAAAATATTGCTAATCATGCGATTTGTAAAAATTATTTTTAATTTTTTAAAATTTATTTATGTTAAACTTTTACTCATCTTTCAACTATTATAGTTAAAATGACGGGAAGGGAATCTGGAACTCAAGAAAATGTGCGAATGCGCGCAGATAATATTTTCCCCCCTACGTCACATACGGATTTTACTTTTTTTTCTGGCTGAATAAGTCTAAATCTACATCCCATCCCATTCCTCTTTCAAATCCTTTTCACCCTTCCTCCCCCCCCCCATCACCAACTTCCCCTACCATAGCAACCGTCACTCCATCTCCCAGACTCCCAATCGTTCCTGTACGAGGGAGAGGAGTGGCAAAACACCAGCAGACCCGACAAAATCTACATGGACGAAGTCTCAAATAAGAGGCAGGTGGACCATCAACAAACACCGTAGTTTCTGTTCTGGCCGCCGGGCGGATAGTCGCGGAGCGCCGAGACGCTCAAACGACGGAATTGCTCTCGTCTCGTCGATTTCGCTATTGTCCGTTGCAGCGCTTCTTCCACGTTTGTAAATTTTGTTGAAGGATCCATTATCCGCCACATCCCATATTATTCTGGAGTGCCCTGAACTAGCCCGTATTAAACAGTCCTTAAATTTAAAAGATTCTCTTTATAATTCCTTCTCCTCTCCAGAAAAATGAATAAACATTTTACAAGTTTTAAAAACATCAAAAATTGATACCTTAATATAAAAACACTTCTTTACCTATATCTCATATACAATAATCCTTCAAACATGTTGTTAATATCACAAACTTGTGTAATGTAAATAAATAAATATGTGTATCCATCCCAATTATGTATGTTTTCCTCTTGAAAAGAGAAAATTAAAAATTTCATCGAAAAGCAATACTTGGATAACTCAAGGAATTCAACCAAGAGGAAACACAAACGGACTCTTTACTTTATTTCTAAATATCATTATGTATCACCGGTTTCTATGTCTACTTCCAAAGATCAAAAGCATTTTGGGGTAAGTAATAGCACAGGCAGGAATAATGAAACATTATCTGAATATTTTAAACGATAATAACAAACCAATGCAATGCCAAATAGCGTAAAAAAATTCGACCACATCATCTCCAACATTTTTAGATAATTCTTTTAAAGGATAATAATAGAGAGATAAGCGAAACGGTAAAAGTTGCTGGTCATTTCAACCAATAATTTTCCAGAATTTCGAGTAACTTCACAAAGAGTCTAACACAAGAAAATTCAACATAATACATTTACAAAAACAAAACAAAAAAATCGACACGATGTTTGTTTCCAGATCTTCTTCCAGTGATATCCTAGAACAGTACACTAAAAAAATATTTGAGAAATTTAGATGAATTTTCGAATTGATAACTCTTTCCATCCTTTATACTCTTGTTAACTTGTAATTTCAATGATTCTTTAAGCACAGGAATATTTCCAGGTATTTTCAAAACCGCAAAAATTAAGTCAGTTTTAGAAAAATGGAATAAAAATGAAATTCATATCTATAGGTCTAATTATTTTTAGTCATTTTTTTCAAATATTTTAGAGAGATTTTTTAAACACGAATGAAATTTGTTTGGGAAATAGCGAAGCGTTTTCAAAATCTCAGCATATATTTAGAATTCAAAACTACGGAAACATCGTGCTTTCTTTTCTTAAAGGTGTTGCTTTATCAATGGATTGAAATGAAGTATCTATTGAATTATTTTTAGATCTTTCGAACGCTTTTGATGTCAATGGCCATAAAATTTTGCTTTCAAAATTACTTTCTATGGAAATTGTGTTGTAAAGATTCGATATTCCCTTATCTTAAACATCAATCGCAAAGAGTAGAAATACGGTAAAGTTGCAACTCCCTTCAACCTACATTTTTTTCAGACTTCCGGGTGATCTAAGAGAACTCAACATCATATGTTAACCATCAAGCAGGGGATCGACCCAGCAAGTCGATTAAGTAAGCGATCGACCCAGCAAGTCGATATAGTAGGGAATTGACCTAGAAAGTCGATCAAGTGGGAAATCGACCCAGCAAGTCGATCAAGTGGGGGATCGAACCAGCAAACCGATAAAGTGGGGGATCGAATCAGCAAGTCGATCAAGTGGGGGATCGACTCCGCAAGTCAATGAAGTGAGAGATCGACCCAGCTAGGCGATCAAGTGGGGAATCGACTACGCAAGTCGACCAAGTGGGAAATCAACCCAGCAAATCGATCACGTGGGAGATCGACCCAAGTTGATCATGTGGGGGATAGACCTTGCATGTCGATCAAGTAGAGGATCGATCAAGTAGGGGATCGACACAGCAAGTCGATCAAATAGGGGATTGACCCAACAAGTAGATAAAGTAGGGGATCGACCCAGCAAAACGATAGTGTAGGGAATCGACCTAGCAAGTCGATCAAGTGGGAAATCGACACAGCAAGTCGATCAAGTGGGGTATCAACCCAGCAAGTCGATCAAGTAGGGGATCGACCCAGCACGTCCATTATGTAGGGGATCGACCCAGCAAGTGGATCAAGTGGGGAATCGACCCAGCAAGTCGATCAAGTAGGGGATCGACCCAGCAAGTGGATCAAGTTGGGGATCGACGTAAGTAAGTCCACCAAGTGGGGGATCGAACCAGAAAGTCGATCAAGTGGGGGATCGATCCAGAGAGTCGATCATGTGGGGGAGAGACCCAGCAAGTCGATCATGTTGGGGATAGACCTCGCAAGTTGACCAAGTAGAGGATCGACCCAGCAAATCAATCAAGTGAGAGATCGACCCAGCAAGTCGATCACGTAGGGCATCGACCCAGCACATCGATTATGTAGGGGATCGACCCAGCAAGTGGATCAAGACGGAGATAGACTTAGTAAGTCGACCAAGTGGAAGATCGACCCAGCAAGTCGATCAAGGGGAGGATCGACCCAGCAAGTGGATCAAGTTGGAGATCGACTTAAGTAAGTCGACCAAGTGGGGGATCGAACCAGTAAGTCGATCAAGTGAGGGATCAACCCTGCAAGTCGATCAAGTGAGGGATCGATCAAGCAAGTCGATCAAGTAAAGAATCGACCCAGCAAGTCGATCAAGTGGTGGATCGACTTAGTAAGTACACCAAGTGGGGGATCGAACCAGCAAGTCGATCAAGTGGAGGATCGAACCCAGCAAGTCGATCAAGTGAGGGACCGACCCAGCAAGTCGATCAACTAAGGAAGCAATCCAGCAAGTGGATCAAGTTGGGGATCGACTTAGAA